TTTTAAAGTAAACGTTTATGAATGTCATGATTTACTATTGTGACCCTATATATTCCCACCATTGATTTCAGCCGTCTTAAATAATCGTTGACTTTTAAGGCCTTCAGGTTCCCCTTCAACTCCTGACCTCCTGCCTGTAGCTTGTCTGCCTCATCACTGTAATGGGCTTTTGTGGCAGGTGGTAATGCCTGCCATTTTCCCTGTGTACCTGCCATAACTCCTGACAAACAACAGAAAACATGGCAATGACATTGTTTTATCTATCTATTCTATCAAGGCATTACAACAACAAAAAACATTTACTTGTTGAAACAAAGTAGAAATATGTGTCAGATGGAGTCAGTAGACTTTAGAATTTGTTGTTAGACCCATACAGTTCTGGAGAGAAACCCCTCTGATCATTCATCTAATAATAATAAAAATTAACCTACACCAGACACACCAATTGAGAAATGCAAACACAATACTTGAATGCCCGCCTTGCTCTTGTAATTGCAAACAGGTAATTAAAGCCAAACCTGTACAAACCTTTGCGTTAAGGTGGTCGCTCATATACATTTACATTTTAGTCATTTAGCAGACGCTCTTATCCAGAGCGACTTACAGGAGCAATTAGGGTTAAGTGCCTTGCTCAAGGGCACATCGACAGATTTTTCACCTAGTCGGCTCGGGGATTAGAACCAGCGACCTTTCGGTTACTGGCACAACGCTCTTAACCACTCATCAGTAAGGCCATAGGAAGTTTACTAAGTAGTCCTGAGCCAAATGTTTTGCCCAGAACCCAGGGAGATATTACAAAAAGACAAAACCCTTTCTGATGTTCACAGAATACAAAACAGGATATGAATGACCCTCACCTCCACTACACTCTCCGACAGTCCCCATCTGGTGGCTGCCTCAGCAGAGGCGACCCTCTCCTGGTCATTCCCTGGTCAAATAAGGCTTTCAAAAACTCTTTGATCAGGAAAAATTGAAGACCTTCTTTGTCCTAAAAACACTTGTTAAGACATATCCTAATTTAGTGTTTATATGGATGAGTATACATATCACAGACTTCATATGAGAAGTGGACCAAAATCCAGGCATAATACAAGATTTCACGCAAGGCAAGCCCCATGGCAGATGATACTGACCTCACATTATTCACATCTAGCCATAGGTACCGTATGATGCAATAAGGCATGTTTCAGTAAAAGCTTCGTGCCCTTAGCCATTAACACACTAAAAACCTACTCCACTGATTATTGCAAGGACTTACTAGTGACCTTGTTTCCATGATATGTTGGCTGACGCGGTTCACTATTGTTATGTTATTGTGTTGTGTTGCTATTGCTATTGACATGGGGATTTTGCTTCTGTTTGTAAATAACTTTGAAACAATGGGCTGTAAAACCAGAACAAACTTCACAAAGAACATTAACATGTACCAGGAATTTGACATGGTGCTGATATACAGTACATAGATCACGTATTCAAGTATGCTGTGCTGGAGTATGGTGATGTTCAGCTTGTCAGTTGCACCAAAGAGCTAGAGAAAGAGCTTGAATGAGTACAATGCAGATGGCTATATTTTGCCACCCTGCTCCCCAGCTCTACGTTTCTGGCCATGGAAGGTGACTTTAACGGAATGTAGATAGGAAGCCATAATTTTACTCCTCAAAGACATGAGAGATCCATCGCACCCTCTTCATGTCCTCTCCTCCACTTAGAGAGCACTGGCAGTTCACAGCTTCTCAGTTCCAACTACCAGGACAAAGCCATTCCAACTATTTCCTACATTCTGCTATCAGACTCTATACTGGTAGAGAGACATTTAACGTCTACATGATTCTATGATATATTCAAATCAAATGTTATTGGTCGCATACACATATTTATCAGATGTTATTGCGGGTGTAGCGAAATGCTTGTGTTCATTGCTCCAACTGTCACGTATATGCAGGGAGTCAGGAAGCAGGTGCAGAAGGTGAGTTTAAAAATGAGAAACATGAAGATAATAAAAAACAGAAGTAGCGTACTGAACGTAAACAAAACCAATACTGCCTGAAGACTGAGGCTACTGAGGGCTAAATAAAGGGGAAGTAATCAAGGTAATTATGAAATCCAGGTGTGCATAGCGCTGGGGAGCAGGTGTGCATAATGATGGGTACCAGGTGTGCGTAATGTGGGTTGCCAGGACTGGGGGTTAGTAAACCAGCAACGTTGAGTGCCGGAGAGAGGGAACGGGAGTAGGTGTGACACCAACAGTGCAGTGGTATCTAACAATTCACAACAATACACACAAATCAAAAAGTAAAAGAATGGAATTAAGAAATACATAAATAATAGGACAAGCAATGTCGGAGTGGCATTGACTAGAAAACAGTAGAATACAGTATATACATTTGAAATGAGTAAAACAGTATTTGTATTTATTAGGGATCCCCATTAGCTGCTGCCAAGGCAGCAGCTACTCTTCCTGGGGTCCAAACACATTAAAGCGGTTACATTACATATAAAACAAAAGATAAAACAGTACATCATATAACATTATTACACCAACTACATATCTACAATACACAATGTACAATACAAAATGTATAATACCGCCATACAACAATATTACAATGTACGTGAGTATAGAGTACATGTGCTAGTGCTTGTGTGCGTATGCGTGTGTCTGTACCTTTTTGTGTCTCTTCACAGTCCCTGCTGTTCCATAAGGTGTTTACCTGTAAAAAAAAAAATGGATTCTACTGCTTGGATCAGTTACCTGAGTTTCATGTAGTCATGGCTCTCCAGGCCTGTGGGCACACACTTTCTAGTAGGCTTAAATTTAAGATATGGCAAATAGGAGTGGCAATATCGTCCGCTATTATCCTCAGTAATTTTCCATCCAGATTGTCAGACTCCGGTGGCTTGTCATTGTTGATAGACAACAATACTTTTTTTCTCGTCTTCCACATTCACATTACGGAATTCTAAAGTACAATGCTTGTCTTTCAAAACTTGGTCAGATATACTTGGATGTGTAGTGTCAGCGTTTGTTGCTGGCATGTCATGCCTAAGTTTGCAAATCTTGCGAATGACAAAGTAATTAAAGTATTAGGCAATATCAGTGGGTTTTGTGATGAATGAGCCATCTGATTGGAGCCGAGTTTGCCTTTTTTACCAAAATGTCATTTATATCATTTATTTTTGTTTCATAGTATAGTTTATTTTTATTTTTTATTTAGTCACATGATTTCTCAATTTGTTTGCCAATCAGTTGGGCTGCCAGACTTATTTGCCATAGCTTTTGGGTCATCCCTCTCAACCATACAATTTTTCAAGTGGGCAGCTTGATGAAAATGTAAATCACCCAGAAAATATACTTCTCTGTTGATATCACATACATTATCAAGCATTTCACACATATTATTCAGATACTGACTGTTAGCACTTGGTGTTCTATAGCAGCTTCCCAAAACAATGGGCTTTAGGTGAGGCAGATGAACCTGTATCCATATTACTTCAACAGTATTTAACATGAGATCCTCTCTAAGCTTTACAGGAATGTGGTTCTGAATATAGACCGCAACACCGCCCCCCAGTGGCATTTCTGTATTTTCCGTAAATGTTATAACCACTGTATCATCAAAAGGTATTATCTAAGTGAGTTTCAGAGATAGTCAGAATATGAATGTCATCTGTTGCAATCAAGTTATTGACTTCATTAACCTTGTTTCTTAGGCTACATATGTTAATATGGGCTATTTCTAGCACTTTTCTGGGTTGCTTGATTGTTTTTAATGCTTTACTGGGAAGCTTATCAGAAGTAGACTTGCTCATGTTATTTATATTGGAGCTGATAGTGCACGGTGAGCTGCACACAGTGGACTTCCTACTAGGGCACACTGCCTCAGTGCTAACAGTGTAACTCTGGTTCATAGAAGCCCACCCAACTACCTCATCCCTATATTGTTATTTATTTTGCTCTTTTGCACCCCAGTATCTCTATTTGCACATAATCTCTTGCACATCTAGCATTCCAGTGTTAATACTATTGTAATTATTCTGCACTATAGCCTATTTATTGCCTTACCTCCATAACTTGCTACATTTGCACACACTGTATATATATTTTCTGTTGTATTTCTGACTTTATGTTTTTTTTTTACCCCATATGTAACTCTGTGTTGTTTTTATTGCACTACTTTGCTTTATCTTGGCCAGGTCGCAGTTGTAAATGAGAACCTGTTCTCAACTGGCTTACCTGGTTAAATAAAGGTGAAATAAAAATAAATAAAAAAATAGGCACATGATTACTGCATACAATAGCTGTAGGTTCAACAGAGGTATTCAGGGCAGTTAGGGGGACATAAATTAAGTTACTTACATTGTGTCTGCCAATGCCCCTGGGATAATGTACATTTGAAGCAGCATTATGACAACTCAGCTCACAATAGTAGGGATTAACTGAGCTGGTGTTGGGTCATTGATAAGTCATTGTCTCAACGCAACCTTGAAATGTGTGGACAGAGTCCAGGAGCCAAGATGATTTGGAGTCCGTCATTCCTGTAGAGTATCTTCTGTTTCCAGAAGGTGCCAAAGTTATCTATAAAAGTAATTCCAACAGAGCTACAGTAATCTTTTGCCAGATGTGTAATGTCAGTAACCTGCTGAATCTTTCACACCCGCGGCCCAACGATGTCACCGGACCTGAAATGATTGTCCGCTTTTTGGATTCTTTCAATGCTAGAATCAGTTCTTTAAAATCAATTTTCAGAAGTTCCGAGCTAGTCCTCCTGATGTCGTTTGACCCCACATGGTCTACGACAGTGTCAGCTCCTGGCATCTGTCGTAGAACTGTTGGAAGCAGCCTTGTAATGTCCTGTACTCGAGCTCCTGGGTAGCACAGGGTTTTTGCACTGGGAACTGAGATGTTTGTCACCATAGAGCTGCCAATGTTGACAGCTTTTGAAACAGCTGTATTATCCATTGTGGATGATGAATGGGCCGGTCTCTCAGGCAGCCTCACGGTCTGATGAGGGTGGGAGGTCTGACGATCTGAACACGAGGTAGAAGCCACCGGAAAGCGAGACAGAACAGAGGACGAAGGTGCAGGTACCTCCGGATCCGATCTCGAATCGGAAGCCCCTAAGGAAGAAGGCACCGGAACCTCTGGATCCAGGGCGGCAAAGCCATTTCTGGTCTATGTCCAGTCTGGGCTTAACATCTCCAAGGAGGCCCCCATTGCCAGAGGACGCTTTCTTCGACTTCCACGGCGAGTGACATATCTCTGTTGGTTGATTGGGTCGAGAACAGGAACATCCCCAAAGTCATCCAGGAGCATCCTACTATCTCCGTTCTCCAGGGAAGGGTGAGACCCCTTCGGGGAGGGATCCCTGCAGAGTGCCGGACAGTCGGCTGTGGAGAGCCTACACGGCGGCGACACTTCCACCAGACCAGAGCGGCGTCCAGCTACTGGGGTGGAAGAAAAAGAAAAAGTAGGCGGGCGTGGATTCCCCAGTAGCTTGTGTAGGTTCGCTACTTGTTTACTAAGAGTAGCCACTTCGCCCCTGTAGTCCTCTGCAAGCAAACAGTTGCTTCATTGAAGGTCCGGGCGGCCCACATTGTCCCGGAATAAAGCAAAGTAAGCACAGCTCCTGCAGCATTGAAAACGTTCAGTAGCCACCTCCATTTGAAACTGCCGAGCCAGTGTCTCTCTACTTGACAAGGAATTCTCAACTTGAGACTTACACGGCTATCAAATCTGTCAGGACAAGGTAAGCCAACACCAAACACACAATTAATTTGAATGTTTGTAAAATTCACAATGTGAAAAATGAATGGGGGTGTAGAGTATTGTAACTCAGGCTAGTAAAACACGTTTTCGTATGATGTCTTCTCAAACCGACATGAAGCAGTAGGGAGTGGCTGGAGCGGAGAGTGCTCGCTGATTGAGATGAAGTTGCTGAGGTAGGTGGGGCTCAATCCATTCGAGGCTTTAAATACAAGCATGAAGATTCTGAAGTCGATCCTGTAGTTGACCGGTAGCCAGTTGGGCCTGGATCGGCCTGGATCGGGTGATGTGGTCTGACAGCACTGTTTCCTGGATTAGTTGGAGCCTCTGTAGTGATTTAGCTTGGAGGCCCCCAAACAGCGCATTGCCGTCGTCAATCCGAGAAAAGATGAGGACGTGGATGAGTTTCTCTGTATCTGGCTGGGAGAGTGACAGGCTCGAATGTAAACATTATTAAAGTGACCAGTGTTCCATTATTAAAGTGACCAGTGATTCCATGTCTATGTACATAGGGCAGCAGCCTCTAAGGTGCAGGGTTGAGTAATGTGTACTCAGTGATGTGTATACCGAGGAACTTGAAGCGTTTTACCTTCTCCACTGCGGTCCCGTTGATGTGGATCGGGGCGTGCTCCCTCTGCTGTCTCCTGAAGTCCACGATCAGCTCTTTCATTTAGTTGATGTTGAGAAAGAGGTTATTTTCCTGGCACAGCTGTATAATGTGTTTTTGTTTTTCATTTATTTTTGCTGTTCTATATTATTTTGTCTCTTGCAATTCAAGCGTCAATGCAATTCACACTGTGCCTTAAAAATGTTTTACTATTACATTCAAACTAAAACCTTGTGAGAGGTTTTACCTATCATGGTGTACCAAAAGCAATTGAAAAGAAAAGGAGAGCCGCACACTCTAGGAGCTCAGATGCAATAATTGAATAACCTAATAACCAACGTTTCGACAGACAAGCTGTCTTCATCAGGGTATAATGACAAACACTGCAGGTCACTAGTTTATATAGTGTCAAAGGACACACACAGGTGTCTGTAATCATGGCCGGGTGTGGCCTGATATCATTGGTTAATTCACAAGATAAACAGAACATACAAAAAACATGAATGGATAGCATATGATCATAGATACAACTTGGCTACATAGGCCCACAAACATTTACAATGAATAGCAAAATCACAATAATCACAACAATGGCTTCAAATCAAAGTCTACGTTGAGACCGAAGGGAGCAAGGGTCTTTAAATTAAAGATCCAGGCAGCCTCTCGTTTTAACAATAAGTTGTCGAGGTCACCCCCTCTCCTAGGGAGGGTGACATGTTCGATGCCGATATAACGTAGGGACGAAATCGAGTGGTTCGCTTCCAAAAAGTGGGCCGCGACTGGGTATGTCGAGTTTTTGCACCTAATGGTGTTAGGATGCTCCGAGATTCATACATTTAATTTGCTCTTTGTTTAACCCACATACTTTACGAGTTACATTTACATTTACGTCATTTAGCAGACGCTCTTATCCAGAGCGACTTACAAATTGGTGCATTCAACTTATGGTGCGGGGGGGGGGGGGGGTTAGAAGGATTACTTTTATACTATTCCAGGTATTCCTTAAAGAGGTAGGGTTTCAAGTGTCTCCGGAAGGTGGTCAGTGACTCCGCTGTCCTGGCGTCGTGGGGGAGCTTGTTCCACCATTGGGGTGCCAGAGCAGCGAATAGCTTTGACTGGGCTGAGCGGGAACTGTGCTTCCGTAGAGGTAGTGGGACTAGCAGGCCAGAGGTGGATGAACGTAGTGCCCTCATTTGGGTGTAGGGTCTGATCAGAGCCTGAAGGTAAGGAGGTGCCGTTTCTCTCACAGCTCCGTAGGCAAGCACCATGGTCTTGTAGTAGATGCGAGCCTCAACTGGAAGCCAGTGGAGTGTGCGGAGGAGCGGGGTGACATGAGAGAACTTGGGAAGGTTGAACACCAGACAGGCTGCAGCGTTCTGGATAAGTTGAAGGGGTTTAATGGCACAGGCAGGGAGCCCAGCCAACAGCGAGTTGCAGTAATCCAGACGGGAGATGACAAGTGCCTGGATTAGGACCTGTGCCGCTTTCTGTGTAAGGTAGGGTCGTACTCTGCGGATGTTGTAGAGCATGAACCTGCAGGATCAGGTCACCGCTTTGATGTTAGCGGAGAACGACAGGGTGTTGTCCAGGGTCATGCCAAGGTTCTTTTCACTCTGGGAGGAGGACACAATGGAGTTGTCAACCGTGATGGCGAAATCATGGAGCGGGCAGTCCTTCCCCGGGCGGAAGAGCAGCTCCGTCTTGCCGAGGATCAGCTTGAGGTGGTGATCCGACATCCATACTGATATGTCTGCCAGACATGCAGAGATGTGATTTGCCACCTGGTTATCAGAAGAAAGGAGAAAATGAATTGTGTGTCGTCTGCGTAGCAATAATAGGAGAGACCATGTGAGGATATGACAGAGCCAAGTGACTTGGTGTATAGAGAGAATAGGAGAGGGCCTAGAACTGAGCCCTGGGGGACACCAGTGGTGAGAGCACGTGGTGCGGAGACAGATTCTCGCCACGCCACCTGGTAGGAGCGACCTGTCAGGTAGGACGCAATCCAAGTGTGAGCAGCGCCGGAGATGCCCAACTCGGAGAGGGAGGTGAGGAGGATCTGATGGTTCATAGTATCAAAGGCAGCAGATAGGTATAGAAGGATAAGAGCAGAGGAGAGAGAGTTAGCTTTAGCAGTGCGGAGAGCTTCCGTGACACAGAGAAGAGCAGTCTCAGTTGAATGACCAGTCTTGAAACCTGACTGGTTTGGATCAAGAAGGTAATTCTGAGAGAGATAGCAGGAGAGTTGGCTAGAGATGGCACACTCAAGAGTTTTGGAGAGAAAAGAAAGAAGGGATACTGGTCTTTAGTTGTTGACATCGGAGGGATCGATTGTAGGTTTTTTGAGGAGGGGTGCAACTCTCGCTCTCTTGAAGACGGAAGGGACATGGCCAGCGGTCAAGGATGAGTTGATGAGCGAGTTGAGGTAAGGGTGAAGGTCTCCGGAAATGGTCTGGGGAAGAGAGGAGGGGATAGGGTCAAGCGGGCAGGTTGTTGGGCGGCCGGCCATCACAAGTCGCAAGATTTCATCTGGAGAGAGAGGGGAGAAAGAAGTCAAAGCATAGGGTAGGGCAGTATGAGCAGGACCAGCGGTGTCATTTGACTTAATAAATAATTATTGGATGTCGTCAACCTTCTTTTCAAAATGGTTGACAAAGTAATCCACAGAGAGGGAGGAGGGAGGGGGAGGAGGAGGACGATTCAGCAGGGAGGAGAAGGTGGCAAAGAGCTTCCTAGGGTTAGAGGCAGAGGCTTGAAATTTAGAGTGGTAGAAAGTGGCTTTAGCAGCAGAAACAGAGGAAGAGAATGTAGAGAGGAGGGAGTGAAAAGATGACAGGTCCGCAGGGAGTCTAGTTTTCCTCCATTTCCGCTCAGCTGCCCGGAGCCCTGTTCTGTGAGCTCGCAATGAGTCGTCAAGCCACGAAGCAGGAGGGGAGGACCGTGCCGGCCGGGAGGATAGGGGACATAGAGAGTCAAAAGATGCAGAAAGGGAGGAGAGGAGGGTTGAGGAGGCAGAATCAGGAGATCGGAGGGAGAAGTATTTAGCAGAGGGAAGAGATGATAGGATGGAAGAGGAGAGAGTAGCGGGAGAGACAGAGCGAAGGTTGCGACGGCACATTACCATCTGAGTAGGGGCAGAGTGAGTAGTGTTGGAGGAGAGCGAGAGAGAAAAGGATACAAAGTAGTGGTCAGAGACTTGGAGGGGAGTTGCAGTGAGATTAGTAGAAGAACAGCATCTAGTAAAGATGAGGTCAAGCGTATTGCCTGCCTTGTGAGTAGGGGGGGACAGTGAGAGGGTGAGGTCAAAAGAGGAAAGAGGAAAGTTATAAGATAAATAATTGCCTTAGTGGAGCACGTGATAACACCTTTGATTGGGATCTGGTTCCCTGTTTGGGGGTGTTTGAAGGATCTACATTTGTAAATGCCATTGCATTGAGCGCAGCCATTATACTTGTAGTTTCCATCCGGTAGAGGTGCAAATAGATGTTGTGCAGGGATATTTAGGGGTGGTAAATCAGAGTTTCCCAATTGATCTCTGAGATTTCTGCCCCGCGAGAATACGACCAAGGGTTGGTCTGAAAACACATTACCGATACTGTCATCGGATCTTAGAATGTGCCAATGTTTGTGAACGATTGCCTTAATTTGTTCTGAGCACTTTGAATAGTGTGTAGTTAGAACGCAAGAATGCTCCTTTTTGCGAGATTGTCCTTGAAAGAGATCAGGTCTCGATTTGTTTTGAATTTTCTCAATGGCAGTATTCATCTGACCATTTTTGTACACCCTCAAGGAATTAAAAGTGTGCGCGAATTAAAAGTACGAATCTCGGAGCATTGTAGCACTATTAGGTGCAGAAACTCAACATACCCAGTCAAAGCGAGATATCGCAACACATTTCTGCTGGTCTTGTCTTGAAAAGGAGAGTTATTACACTAAGCAATCTGGACGCAATTTATTGCCGTGTTCACGTGCTATCAGAGTTATCAGAAATTCCTAGTTCCGACTGGGAAGTTTCACTTGAACGACCCTCCAAGTCAGATTTACAAGTGGGAAAACTCAGAAAATGTTGTTGCCCGAGTTGAGACGTTTCACCCGTGACCTTTTATCTTTATTACAAAATAATTAAATAACTGGTTATATCAAAATAATCCATTAACTCGTTATTATGAGAAAACGTTATAATGGGAAATATCGAATTATTACGAGAAAGATCACGTTATAACTAGAAAGATGTTGTTATTGCGAAATAATCTAGTTGCACATTATTATGAGAAATAGCCTTTGCCTTTATTACAGTGCCTTCAGAAAGTATTTACACCCCTTTAGTTTTTCCACATTTTCTTGTGTTACAGACTGAATTTAAAATGATTAAATTGAGATTTTGTTTCACTGATCTACACACAATAACTCATAATGTCAAAGTGGAATTTTGTTTGTAGAACATTTTAGAATTGAATAAAAATGTTAAAGCTGAAATGTCTTGAGCCAATAAGTATTATGGCAAGCCTAAATATGTTCAGGAATAAAAATGTGCTTAACAAATTGCATGATAAGTTGCATGGACTCATTCCATTTTCAATAATAGTGGTTAACATGATTTTTTTTTAAACTACCCCCTCTCTGTACCCCACACATACTTTTATCTGTAAGGTCCCTCAGTCGAGCAGTGAATTTCAAGCACAGATTCAACCAGAAAGACCAGGGAGGTTTTTCAATGCCTCGCAAAGAGGGACACTGATTGGTAGATGTGTAAAAATAAAAAAAGGAGACGCTGAATATCCCTTTGAGCATGGTGAAGTTATTAATT